TGATGTCAGAGACGATCCCAGTTTGTCTTCTCATTCAGTGCCGCGTTGTTTAAGGATCGTTTTTCTGAGCTGGATGGAAAAATGTTGAGTTTGCTGCACACCTGCCAGATGTGAACACAGCTGGAAGTGAGAAACTGTGCCTGAGACAGAATTTAAAATAAATGTAATCTTGTTTATGTCCAATGATTCTTTGTTTTTGTCGTTCTCTTCTTTGCTTCACGATTCCTCACAATTAAAATAAAACGAAACAGCTGCTCTGATTCTTTCACATCTGCTGATGTGATGAAATCAACTGCATATATGAGAAGGTTGGACAGACGTGGCGTCCTCAGTCTTCATCTACAGTCAAAGCGTTACCTTTGCGCACAGGTGCGTCTGAGGTTCTTTCAGAATCATTCAGGCTTTTCTTTACTATTTAAATCAAAAATTGGACTTAAATCATCAAGTTTGTTTCGTCATGGAAACTGTAACACCATCATAGACTGTATATAAAAGATGGACATCACCCATTATTTTGAAAAGTCCTGTTTTAAAACATTCAGTTGGCGACTTTTACTGAGTGACTTTGACCATAAACTTATCAGGAAAGTACAGCTGAGGTCAGAGGTCAAGTGAGCAGTAAGTAAAAGAGTCGCCCCCTGTTGGGCATTAGCAGGAATGCATCATTTTCAATGTTCACGCCCAGAAGCCACATCAGTCTTTCATAAGCAGAGCGTGCAGGTGCTTCGGGGCACGCAACGAAACCTAAATATCTCCTGCTTTTGTTTGGATTGAGATCTTTCATCTTCATTGTGCAGCAGATTTGATATTTTTTCATTGCACTGATGTAGACGAGCTCAGTAATGTTCGCTGACGTCTGTGGGCGGGGTCAGCTGTGATGATGAGTGCGGCGAATAAATGACAGAAGAAGAAGAAAAAGGTCAAAAAAGAGCTGAGATGGAAAGTTTGCAATAAGCTGCTGATGTGACGCCGGATTAGAAAGCAAAACTCGATCGTCCGCTCGATCGGGTTGTAAATAAAAAGATTCCAGTCGAACTTTGATCTGAGAGCGGCTTCTCCGCCATGTGTCTGCGAGAGGTTAAAGGTCGACTCAGCAATTTCCACACAACCTTTCAGACACTCAAACGCTCCTACCTCCACCTGTGTGAGTGGGCGGGGCCCCGCGCCCGCTCTGAATGTACTCTGCAGGACTTCCTGTTTGACAGGTCCTGCATGCGTCACGGCGAGTAAAATAAAGTTGCGTTTACGTCACGAGGAAGAGGAGTGAGGAGTTTTCAGGTTTTGTTCTGACAATCAGCCGTTCGTGAACCGCGTTTATTCGCTGCTGGAGGGGCGTGTCGGTCTCTGACATCAGAGTTAACAGATTTAAATGATGTGAGGGAACTCGAGCGCTGCGAGCTAACAGGCTAAACGCTCAGCTTTAGGGCAACGCCTGCACGCTGTCAGACGTTAATGTGACGTAACGCTGTCCAAACGCTGTTTACGCCAAATTCCAGAACGTCGCGGCGCTGAAATGGCGGGAAAACTGTTGCCACAGTCAAACACGTCGTGGGTCAAATTTAATGTTTGACTCGTCTGGTTTAACGTGATGATGTCAGGTCGTAGCTGTTCGTCTACAACCCTCTGAGCCCACGCGTTAACCCTGAAACTGAACTTTATGAAGAGATTTGCTTAAAATGAACTAAGAACAGATTCTTAATCAATCGTTAAGTTTAATCGACACTGGTTCGATTGTTGGAGCCTCGATCGGCTCCACTGGTGGAAGCGTAACTGAGTATTTAGAGTTAACAATGTAAATGTAACAGTCTTA